CATAATGTATTCAAAGCCACAGCCTAATGTGATTAATGCGTTTTAAATGTTATGATTTTAAAGATACATCAAATGACATCGAAATTATTATTTTTTAAATTATTTTCTTAATCCTGCGTAGCCTAATCTTTTCAATAATACTAATAGCACATGCAACAGTAATAATTAGAAAAAGAGTAATAATATAAATGAAAAAATGTGTAACAAGAAATTAAGTTATAGACGAATATACAAAACTAGGAACTCTAAAGTGCCATAAAAGACATTAAAATACATTTTTAAAAAAATTAAAAAAAGCTACAAACACCTTGGCCCCCCAGCGCCTGGCTCGGTCGGGGCCTTCGGCCTCTTCGTTATGCCACTTATTTTTAACTTCTGTATGGAAAGAACTCATTGACATTCACAATACTTTTACATTACACAGTTAATTATAGGCCTATGTATATTTGTCTTATAATCTTAATATAATTTTAATCTATTTTTATATATTTATAGTTTTGGGTGTTTCTTTCTTTTCTTTTGTTATGATAATAGGCCTATGTATATTTTCGCATATTGTATGATCCTTAAAATATTTCTCTTTACATTTTGTTTTTGTTGAACTTCTCATTGACAATTGTGCCTCTGTTTCAATAAAGAGACAATGCAGTTATCTAATATTATTATCTTGATCCTACATTATTTTCATTCCAAGGATTGTCGATGATAATAAAATATGCTATTGCGCCCTCTTTTTCTAATTTATTCTCCTACGTACTCAAATATCATAACAAGAAATTGTTGGGTTATTTACCGTAGTTGTAAGCTGACACAGTCAGGAAGCGAACGCTGTGGACCCGCGAAAATTCGGTTGTGTAGCACCATAGTTTTTGTCCATTCACCTGTTCACTGAGATTTATTATGGTGGTTGTTATTTTCCAGGAGTTATCATGTGAAATACGCATTATTTGAATGTAAGTCTTGTAATGTATGTAAGGTATTGAAGAAGTGTCTGTACATGCGTTTAGAACTTGCTTGCCGGTATAATTGTACTTAATTTTATACCTCTCCATGCTTAAAATAGGTTCATTTTCACTCAAATAATGACTTAAGGTAGCCTTCTCAAGTGATCATTATGGCAACACAAGCAGACAAAATTAAATTTTTACTTCCCTAGGCAGCAATTTATTTAAGTGACTGTAACTAGACATATTATGACATAGACATAGTTTTTTTTATTTACAAATACATACTATTTCAGGTCCTTAACCATGTTTTGTAAGGGGTGTGGGGTTTCTATCTATGGACTATCGATGGTCTGGGTGAACTAGGCCCCTACAATAGTCCGCATGTCGATGACTATATATAGCCCCTTTCAAATAGACGTTGCCACAATATAGCGGTAAGCATGCCGGCATAATAACTGGCCTATACGCTTTCACACAGCTCCTTTGTTACCGCAATGTTGCGGTCTTTCACTTTTCTGTCTGAAAGGGTCCTATAGAATGGTGTAATATTGGCGGTTTAAATACCACAGCGTAATTGTTTCCAACTTTAACCTTGTCTGTTTAGGCATAAATGCACATGCCGGCTTGATTGCCGCAATATCGAGTAGACCCTTTCTGACAGAGAGAGCAAGCCAGTACCGTTACCGCAATATTGCAGCAATATTACTAGGGTGCAAAGTGGCCTAAAGTAAGCCGGCATATTGGCGTATCGACCCTTTCAGACAGAAACCCATGCCGGCGTGCTTACCGCAGTATGGTGTGCTTACCGCAGTATTGCGGTATTGCAGCTCTGTCAGAAAGGGGCAATTATGTATGCCATTGATCCAAGTGCCTGCTGGGGGTCCAGGAAACACCGGGGTCAGGCCTGAAGAACAATTTTTGTATTTAAAATAAGAGACTGTTTTCATGTCAACATCATGTCAGTGGTGCCAGTTGCGTTGGTGACGTAGCGTAGCAGCAGCGCTAGTATAAAGTTTCTCTGTTTCGGTTTGTATTGTGCACTACATATTTTTGATGTATGGTTGATCTCTTGAAACAACACTGGTTATAAATGCCATATTGTTTGTTATTAAGCAATTATAAATGTTTTGAGAATTTCTTTGGTTTAGATGTAAGAAGAGGGGGTAGGTTTGGAGAGGAGAAAGAATACATATTGGATCCTTTGGAAATTAACTTTTTACATTTTCTGGTTACTTAAACTAATGCATAATTATAGACCTTTATACTATTTCCCCAGAGTATAAAATGTTACAGAAAGGTCTTCTGTTATTAATGTTGGCCTAACCTTGGATACTCATTAAATTTGTATGAGAAAGAATGCTTAATACTCAAGTACACTTATGGAGGATGGCATTATGTCATCTAGAAATATACAGAACCATAGGCCAGACAAAAGAAAAATATGTTTCTCAACCAGTTTTTTTAAAAGGAAGATTAAAGGACCATCCGGCCTAAGAAAAGTATGCAGGAATAGACTGAAAAGTAGGGCCTGCGCAGGAAATATATCCTTCGTCCCTTTAGGCCCTGAAATCCATCTGCACATTTCATGTAAAAAAAAAACCATAGGTGTATGTCCACTAAGTGAGTTAAAATACTAATTATCACCTTTTTCATTGGGGCTTACAGTAGTTCCACATTCTCAATTTTTGACCAACAGCCTGTTTGCACCCCATACTATTACTCTGATAAAAACTAGTCAATCCCCTACAAACAATGGTGAATCCAGGAATTTGAAAAATGAAGGGGGCCCAGGGAGGGATTTTCATAGACCACCTCAGTCCCACTATGGTTGAAGCTGAGGTAAGAAAACTTATGATTATGGCAACTCTAGGTGGCCGAAAATAGGACTTCCAGACTTAAATTTGTATATAATTTTCTTTTTTCCTACTTTGTTTTATAATTTTGCAAAGCTTGGGGGTGGGGGTGGCCATCCTACCCTTAAATCCACCACTAACAAAATCAGGCCTACTGTATCTTGATCAATGTACACAGTTGGATCCAATTCTGTCCATCTCTTTTCTGTGCAATTTTTTGTTCTTAAATCTGCTGCACAAATAAAAGAACATTGCAAGTGGGAGTAGATGAGGTTCATGTTTTTAATTTGATTTGGATTTTCGTGCAGTAGTATAATTACTCTTACATTCATCTCCTAACAGCTGTTTCATCCATACTTTGCATAAATAGTCAACTAATTACTTCTCTGCATAATGTATAATTGAAAGAACACAGACAATTATTGGAATCAGCCATTTCTGCAACATTTATTGGCAATAATCAGATTCTTGGTCTGATTTTTATTCATTCATTTGTACCTTAATTATTCATTCTTTCATTAAGATTCATTCATTCATCCATCCATCCGTCCATCCATTCATTCATTCATTATTTCATCCCATCATTTATTCGTTCATTAATTAATTTGTTCAATTTCATGCAATCATTCAATTCATTCATTCATTCATTCAATCAATCAGTCAATCATTCATTTATTCATTCATTCATTCAGCCAATCATTTATTCATCCAATCAATTATTTAGTCATTCATTCAATCATACATTCATTCATGCATTCAATATTTCAGAATAATATTTCCATACAACAAAATTAAGTAACTGTACATTTGAACCACGCATCCCAGTAGTATCGTTGAATTCCAGTCAAAAGATTTTCACAGTAAAAGTCTATAATAATTAGCAAAAAAAAAAGCTTGTATGATTTGTGTTTCTATGGAAGATGATAACTTATTTTATCCCTTTAACACATTCACAGCTAGGGGTTCATGTTTTGTTACGGTTGATGGGAATGATTTTAATTGTGGTGGCATCCATTATGCCTTGTGTATGGGATGAAACTAGGGAAAAAGGCTTGGCAGTCAACATGTTAAACAAGCAGAACAATTTTATGAATTATTTTTTTATTCTATTTGTAACAGTAACACGGTAACTGCTTTTTCAAAATTATCAAGTTTTCTTAACAAAGTTCAGAATATAAACAGAAATAAAATATTAAACAGGACAAACAAGTATCAAAAAGGGTGAAAAGAAGTACCTATGCATGGCACGATAAATGACAAAAAAGTTCAAATTGCAAATAAACTTTACTATAATAAAAATTTATATTATAGCAAGTTATAACAAATGGCATTTTTAAAATTGACTATGGTCATATTAGTAGATCTTTGGTATATTATTCCAAAGTTTTGCTAATCAGTATTGAAAGGTTCTTTTCCTTTTGTATTTTCCCAGTTTGGTACTACAGTACTAAAGGTTTTACTGCTTTGGCAATGAATGCATTTGGGACGGATACCATCATTAAACATAAACATTGAATATGATGGTGCAAAACCATGTAAACACTTAAAATAAAACTGTGTTCTCTCAATCTTTCATTTAGTGGTTTCCAGCTTAATGTATCTAATAATTTTTTTAATCTACAGAGAAGAATTGAAATACAAGACTTTACGACACTGGTTCCATTTGTCAATTGCCATACTGTATTACTTATAAGTTCCATAAATATTATATAATATTTGATTAACAATGTTATTGTTAAAGTTTTGAGTTACTTATGTAAATAATGATCATGTATGCATAATTGGATTGGCATTATAGGGAATATTCCATTTCTGTTAATATTGTTTGGTCATTCATGGAATAATGAAGTACAAACAAGCAGAAAATGGACAATGCATAACTGAAGTGAACTCATTTATGGTTACCATTGACAGTGCAGTACAAAAAACATGAATCCCTAGGAAAAAAATACATTATTTTAAACTAGACTTAAGGTAATTATTACTGATTTGTAACTATATTTGTATTTTTTATACTTATTTTTAACCCATAGTATGTACATTTGTCATTTTTATTTATTTATTTATTTCATTGTATTGCATGTAATAGGGTTCCTATGCTAGATTGGTTTATAATATAAATATATAATAATAAATAAATATTATGTGAATGTATTTAACCTTGCCAGTCTTCTCGAGTTTCTGCTTAATTTAAGCTGCTTGCTTACTGCATTAGCCTAGGTGTGTTACGAAAGAAGAGATGATTTCATATCTGTAATTAAGTTTATCGAGTGGCCAGGAAACGTAGGTTACAAGGTGTTCTGTCTTCGTTATTGATTACACGTGGTCCATTAAAATCCTATTTCACGGCCAATTTGAAGGGATGATTTACACGAAACTGGTAGGTGGATGTTTCCATGTGTATCCATTAAGACCATGACCTTGACTTATTTTGTTTTCCTTAATTAAGGAACGCTTGTCGTTTTGTATAAATATGCGAACGAAGGCATTGTAATTGCGAGTCTTTATGTGCACTTACTGTACCGTATGCTAAAATTTATGATAAATTCAGGTCTACTTGAGAATTTATTACAAATCTGAACTCAACTAGTCAATTTTTTAGCCTGGCCAATTAACGATTCTTGCCTCCCAAGTCTCAGGACTCCGAGTCTGAATCCTAGATATAAATTCCACTTTTGATAAGCCTCATATTATCATATATCAGGTGTTGATGCTACTGTGTCTGCATTATGTTCTAGACTATCGGAAAGGAGGTAACATAACCATGGTCCCCATTCTACTCTACAATACATTAGATCTATATGCTATATACAAGAAAATGACTATAAAATATGCAAATTATTATAATTTTCAGGTAGACTACTTTCAAGGTAGTTATCATCTGCTCTTTTTACTGCTATCACTTGTTTTCTTTTCTATTTTTATCGGTTTTGTTCAAAAGTACTCATTTGTATAATTAATTAATCAGTGGGAAAAATAAATTGAAAAATAGTGCTTAATTGAAGTATCGACTCCATCATGGAGTCGAAATGTACTCATTATTAAACTTGAAAATGACCCATGGAGTAGAAAGGTCAATCATTTTAATATTTTTTAAAAATATACTGTACTGCATTTAGGCTTATACCAAACATGCTCTTTTAGATTCCTTTAAAATAATGGATGGATGGAACAGATGGACAATTGACTGACTGAATGAATCATTCGGTGATTTATTGATTGATTGGTGGATTAAATGAATGATAGCATGAATGAATACCTAAATGAAGAATATATAACACTCAAGGAAACACATCAGTAACAGGTATTCAAACCAATGCGCTATTAATTCTTAAAAGGAAGAAAACTTCAACAGCACTTAAAATGCTGCACAAATTTACTTTGAATATTAGTTGAATGACAAACAATTACCGGAGACTAGAGCTTATTATTACATTCTATTCTTCACGGTAGGTGTGGATTACTTAAAATTTACTTTTTATATCAGTGGATGTGTAATTACATATCAAGTGAACAAATTGTATTTTTCACTGACGTATACTAATGAATGTAGACGTGTTGTGTGTTACCGAGTAACAACCCATTGGATGCATAATTATGTTGTTGGTTGAATTCTTAATACAGCAGGCCTGTCTGTCTTGTCAATTCTGCCTCTCAACTTGGTTGTTTATCCCTAATGCAATTTCTAAAGACCTGCACAGCTCATTAATATAATATGTTTATAATGTAATATATATTATTGTTATTATTTTTAATAATCTTATTGTTATTATACGATTAAATTGTTGTTATTTATGTTAATTTAATATTAATTGTTGGTAATATTCATTAAATATTGTTATTAATTTTTTTTCATGTTGTTACTATTTTTGTTTATTGTTAGTATTAAATAGAATTAAAAGATAATTTGTTTTTTATTGAGGACAAATTGCTTACTGGTCATATAAAACAAGAAAATGTAATAAACAAAACATGTTACTCTATATACACATTATTGTATTTAGTATAGTATTTTGCAGTATACAAAATATATGAAGAGAACAGGAGGATTTAATATTAAAAGAGGATTAAATGTCTTTGTAAAAAAATTAATCCCTAAGTGTAGCACAGTTACACAAAAGACATCAGAAATACATACAAATTACATATGAAAAGAACAAGATATATATGAAAATCAATTGAATTATGAACTGTCCATCATAACAAATTCCGAATATGTAATCTATTTTAGATGATAGAAAACAAATAAGAATACATACTGTAGTAGGTACAGGTATGGTCCATTATCGAATGTTGCGTGGGTGTTGATAATAATAATGTCAATAAGGCTTTCAAAATGCAAGTATGTCAAAAGGTAAATGATTCCATGAAAACTTATAATACAGCATTGATTAAATGTTTCCATACAGTCACACCGATGTGACCATGTCGATTTTTTCCAAATTGAACCAATGTGTCCAAATTTTTTTGACATTTAATTGTAAAACTGTGCATAATCTCTGACCTATAATAATAAGATGTACAGGTATGGGTACCCGCCCTCCATTAAGTGCTGCATCTTCATTTGTTTGTGGTCGTGTTGCAATAATCCCGAAAATTCCCCAAGGAATATGGTCTTCAAAAATAACAATGTTATTGTTATAGAGTAAAGCTATATTAATGAGTTTAAGTCCAGGAGGGATAGATTCGCTGACATAATAGTCGGAATAAATGCATTCATTATCATAGTTTACCTGAGTAAAGTGTTACATCATCTTGTTCTTTAATGGATGTCATCTCTCCAAAGAAACATAAAATATGAAATTATGTAATAGTAAACCATAATAATAATAAATAACACTAGTACGAGTGAAATGGTAGTCAAATTTATAGTAATTCAGTTTTATGTTATAAAAAGCTATGAAGTTTGAATGAAGATAGAATTGTGTCAAGATAAGCACGTACATACATTCAATGTTTTATTGTAGGTTCAAGAAAGGGATTAAAAATGGACAATGACCAACCAATTAGATAACACGCTAGAGTAAAGAACGAAGGATAACTATTTTAGAGAACAAAAGCGCAGAAAGGATACTTTAGATTATACTGTAATGGGTCAGTAAACATCACCTAATGTTGTTGGCAAGGACAAATTGTAGGTAAATATAATTAATTATTAATCACCATCATCTACCCTTCGACAACGGTATTGTCATTTTTGTCTTTTGTGTTTATTTTAACAAATTTGGCAAAATAAATAAAACAACAAAATTATCAAGAAAACTATCAGTCAATATTGCATAATTAAGACATTAATAAATATTTTATAAAAAATATATATTAACTATAATATACTGAACAATAGAATAAATATGCTTGTTTATAAATGACATTCGTAAAAAGTGTATCAATAAATTTATGTGTCGTAAGATTTGAAAAATAAAAGTATGTGTTGTCAAACCAAAATGGAGTGATAATTTCTGCCATTATTTGAATGTGTTCGGTAACCTTTCTCAAGTTGTGAAATATCTACTTACTCTTCACGGCCAATAAACAAGAATCCATACGGTAATCGCATTTTCTTTGCAACATTAATAGGGAAAGAAAAGTGCTGGGAAGAGCAATGCATGTTTAAGGTACAGTGAAAGTTCATTCATTTGCGGTGGTCTTAGGTCTAGGGTTCTACCTATACCTAAAGTCTTAGCAGAAAAGTAAGATTGGGTCTCAGTTTTAACTAGTAGACCATGGACAGTACCTTGTATCCTTAAAACCCTGTCCAAACCATCAAATTGATTTGACAAAATCATGTGACATGCCTAAATATGGCCATGATGACATCACATCATGACCATATATAGGCACATCATATATGAGCATACAACAGTTTTCCATAATCTGGACAGTGCGCTATGAATTCCCCACTGCATTGATTCACAAATTAAAATTTTGTCTACTCACTACTACTAATAATAATACTACATTGCTAGGACAACTTAGCAGTTTTACTCGAGTTTGTTACAGCTTATAACGATCTCCACAAAATCCTTCATATTTTCTAATGGTTTCTAAGTTCTTATTTTAGAGATTACTGTAAGCAGAACTGCGAGTACTTTAAACTAGTTCTTACTAGTTAGAATCCTAGCATTATGTATGCATAAAGTCCTTGTCAAGTATTTAGTGATCACACCTTCATTGGCCTGCACTGTATGTTATTTACATTTCTCACAGCTTAAATCTCTGTACACATATCAATTCTTATGCAAAATATAGCTGTGATTTGCTGATATATGCCATCATCATAACCATATGTGTGTAATATTATACCATCATGTCCTATACCAATCAGTCAATTAATCTTTATTTTCCATCATGAATAAAAATATAAAAAACAAATATAAAGATGGTGGAAGTACAAAAAAGGTAACACCTGACAAAGTGTAGTACTACCTTAAGGCAAAAAGGCAATCATTTGCAATACTTTATATAGAAATGTTAAAGACATTAATAAATGTATAAATATATAACACTGACCCACCCACCCCCCTATGATATACATATAGCCAAAATGAACAAGTAATAATTTATTAAGTAGTACAAAGTATTGCCGTAAAGTGTTTTTATTAAAATGATTAACACTATGAGAGTTTTTAACATGGCATTTTTTATGGCTACTAAAATGCAAACATTCTGTTTTTATTGTCTCGCAATTGAAATTTTTTCCTAGTTGTTTAAAAAAAAAGTGCATATTAAAAAGTTACTTCTTTCTATACTTGTAAAATTCTCCCAGTGGCCGAATTATTTTGTTTTAGTATTTTAGTATATTTTCTTTATTGCTTTGTTTTATATTTGAATAAATTATTTTTTCTATTATATAGTTTTTTCATGTAAATTTATGTTTAGTTATTTTCTCATATACAGAAACCTTTCTGAATAATTCAATTAAAATATTAAATTACTCATTTTACAAGGATCGAATAAGATTAACTTCCCAAAGAGACACAAAAGGAAACAAGATATAACGCTCATAACATATTCAACAAGGATTGCATATGATTATATCAAATAAAGAACAATCGTTGAAAGTTCACGCAATAATTTTACAAAAATGCCGTAGACCAGCCGCCGAAACCTAATCATTAATCACCACGCTTCATTGACTCTGAAAATTTTACAGACGTAAACACCGTGCTAATGTTACAAATAAACTTAATATGTTCCAATGTAAGTACTGATCAATTTTAACTTGCTCGTAGCTGAAAGATGGCTTATTGCAAACCGATGACATCCTGACAGATGTTCAAGTTCACATCATCAAATTACCGTAAACATTAATTAATTTTTGTTATCATATTTGTGGGGGGATAAGCGTACCTGATGATTACTGGTGTTTGAATGACAACCTCAAGTTGTGGGTCCATCCAGACCAGTGAAAAGTGCTTGTACTGTAATAGTTTAAAATCCCCACCAAAATATTAACCCCAGAGGGCAGAAATGCCACAAGACCAAATAAATATATATCCCCACAGGGAGCCAAAATGCCCCAAATATTGAGTTACAGTATTGGTTTCAGAGTGAAATTTTATTCATTTAGATTCTCAACATTGAGGTCGGGGGTTTGAACCCATGCTGTGAATTTTTTTTCTTGTGTCCTTAGGCCAGTTTACTATACCTAATGCCAGTCGCTCTCCACCCAGGAGTGTAAGTGGTTACCTGGTAGGCTCGGAAACAAATGCTTGGATTATTAGCTGCAATTAACATTGTGGAATTCTTCCTATGGAGCTTAATATGAGTTCCAAAGGTGTTTGATCTGATGACTGGGATGAAGCGCATAGAGAGGACGTACTGTTTAAATGATACTCTATTTTAGGACTGACACAGTGGTGGCACCAGTGGGGTAGGAAGACGGTACCACCCACACCCCCTTCGGGGAAAATTGTTTTCAAGTCTTTGGGATGGTCTGGCTTGGTTTTTTGTATAGTAGAATATGGTGTTCTTATACCAGAAGATGCATGGATGGTAAAATCAGACAATGTGTCCATGACTTGACATTCCTTCAAGTTCCATTTAACTGAACAAGTTCGGTTTAACCATATGGAGTATTTTGCCAGCTTCAGAGGTGAGGTTTTGAGTCTATTATTAGCCGAACCCGAACTTGATTGATTCCTATCCCTAGGCGTAGGTGGCTAAGCAGGTTTTATGCTGGACTTTGAAAGGAAGATGGGTCCTTGGATTCGTAGAAAAGCATGCAGGCGATCATGAGAGATACAGCTGGCTGTTGTATAAAACAAGTAATGAATGTTTCTTATTCGTAAAGTGGGGTAGAATATTTCATTCGATAAAAGATTAGATGTTCTATTCGACTCGGCTATGCCTCGTTGAATAGAACATCCAGTGTTTCACGTTATTAAATATTCTACCCTATTGCACTGATAAACATTCATTATTTGTATAACATTTTAAATCAAATATT